TACATTTATGTATGAAACATGATACATACTTGATACATTTGATTTGATATACATTTTCATTTTCATATATATGACCCATAAAGTAATCAAACATTTGCCTCAACAGATGTGTTGTCCAGATAAGCAAACACTCACCCAAAAGAGGTAAGCATGATAAAAAGAAGAAAACTGTCTTAATCTTAGTCTGATGATAGAAAAATATATTTACATGATTAAACTCTAAAAGTCTATTTGTCTCTAAAACATACATACACCCCATTAGCTATACCTGCTTATGCTAAAAACAGTTGAAAATTAAGTCAAATTATTACACTTTACATATATGTGTCAATATGTCCAATGTAGGTGATACTGTAAATATTTAAGGTTTCAAGGCCTCATCTTGTTGTTGGACCACTGCAGCAATGCAGGATGTTTATCTGGGTTGTCTTGTCCTCACTAACAATTCAGCTGGAAGGATTTTTATTTTGTCACAAAAATATGGAAAGACTGTTTCTGTGAACGTGTATCTGATGGTGTGTACAAGTGTTTTACTATCAAGGTCTAAAAATGATAGTATTCCTTGGTCATAATCAAGCTGCACTCTGACCTTACCGGGAAATGGATATTTCAATCTAGTTCCCCTATTATTCTCTGGAGTAAATTCACGGAGACTATCAGAGGTAGAATACAGATAGATGCTCCAGATGTTCACAGAGGTTTGATTCTTGATTCTAGAAGCCACACCAAGAGCCCAGAGACCCCCCACCTCCACATCCCAGCTGTGTTTTCCAGAGGTAAAGCCTTCAGAGCCGAGAACAGTTACCGCGCTCAGCCTTTCTGGGTTTTCAGGAAGCGCCTGATAGTTGGTACGCTCTGTTGTTAGGGTCATCTGTTCTGATACAGTCAGTTGGGAGCCACTAGTGTTGGGGTCTAGAGTTACAGGAGCTTCAGAGAAAGAAAAAAAAAGAAACAAAAGGTAAAGTTTATTTAGATGATTATTAAGATAAAGGTTTTCCTGAAGGCTGTGGTGAAAGAAATTTTATCAGTAACCTATACATGCCGTTTAACGCAGATTAACATGTCAAAACAACTTTGCTTACTGTATTGGATTATATTTTTCATTTTCTCCCAGACTGTGAACAGCAGGTTCCCAAGGTGTTTGGCCTCATCGATCAGAGCTCCTGATGGAGTCTCTGGTTGTTGCAGGTTACACTGGGAGCTGAAAGAACATTAAGAAAACCCAGATTACTGGTCAAATGATTTTAAATAACCTTACAAATACCTTAAAAAATATTGTACCTTATTTCATTATATCAGACTCATTTTAATTTTTCATGGCTAGTAATTGTAGCTAGAACATATAGCAAGAAATTGTTATACTTATATGTTGACAAGCTACACACAGGTGAGATTTATGCTTTATTGCTATGTTTCTTTTTTCAAACTTCCCCACCTTCAATCATGGCAAAAACTGAAAGCAGCTCCCCTCTCCCCTTAACTTTTTAAGGGAATGCATCCAGGATGTGGATGAGACAGTCCCAAACTACCATCACACTGCTTCTACAATGGTGAAGTCAACATTTTCAAATGCTGACTATTATTCAGTTGTGCTTTGATAGTGTACAGGAAGCAACTTACCGCTTTAAAGTGGATTTTATATTCTGTCAAATAAAGAGAAAACAGGATAAATCAATACCTCTAATGTTGTTAAATATTCAATATTAAGATCAGAAGAACTGAGCACTACCAGCATAAATAAGATGTCCTCAGCCTTCATCTCCTCCTTTATGGCTTTGATTTTGTTGGTGAGCGAGGAGATCTCTGCAGTCAAATGAACAATCCTGATGTTCATTGCCTCACTCTTGAGCGTCGCCTCTTTCCTCACTGCATCAATCCTGGAAGCCTCTTCTGCTCGCAGGAACTGGTAAAGCTTCTGAAACTCCTCTTTGACTGTCTTCTCTGTCTGCTGAGCCTGGAGCTGAGGAGAAACACTTTTCTGATGAAAGTAGACAACACATGGTGCTTTCTGACTCTGCAACCATTATGTCTGGGATTTACCTTGATGTGTCTGGCCAATTTATCGCAGTTGAGTTTCGCAGTTTTATACGAACCCAGTTTGCTTTTTAAGTGCATCAGTTCAATCTTGAGTTGGGTCTGCAAATAAAGGCACATGTATGGATCAAATACATAGTAAACAGTGGATCACATCTGCCTGGTCTCAGTTGTTTAAACTCTATAGATTTACTTACCCTATGGGCCTCTGCTGCTTCATTGATGGGGATGCAGTTGTGTTTCTTATGTTTTTGTGCATCCCTACATATCACACAGATGAGCTGTTGATCATCCTCACAGAAGAGCTTGAGCTTCTCAGTGTGCAGACTGCACATCTCTTTAGATCCTGAGTTAGCTCTCTGACTCCTTCCTTGTCTCAAGGTGTCAGA